TGACATATTTATAAAAAATTTAGATACTTTGTAAGAACTGAACTTTATAAACCACAATATCAGAAGTTGTTTTTTTGTGGTTTTTTATTTGTGTTTTTTATTGTGTGATGCTTTCGAGTTTCTGTAAATGCTGATCTGTCAACCAACAAAAGTGTAAATTTGTAAATTTTGTATAAAAACTGTGAAAAGTTTGAATTCTTGCGCACTTTCAGATACTCATACTTCGTTGGGTTAGTTCTGCGTCAAAGAAAATTTCTAATTTTTTAGTATCGTTTGCATGCCCTATTTGTGCATAAATGTTTTATTTTTCTATTTATGTTTCTATTTTTTTCTGAAGTAAATACAATTTTATGATTATGCATTTTTCGATTGCATCTGAAATAAAAACATGCAAGCGGTCCGCATAAAGCACAAATTTATATTGAAATTCTTTCAAAATTGGACACTTAATTGCTACTCTTTAGTTGAACAGCGTTTAATGCATATGATAAGTACGAAATTGAAAAACTTGAATGCATAAAACACTTAAAAATGCAATGTTACTGTGTTTTACTGTTTTACCAAAAACATTAGTTGCTTTTAATTAATTTTATTGACAGATAAAAATTCTATAATACGCAAGCATGGCTTGTGTTGCTTTGACTTTAGAGAGACGATAACGAATAAAATTTTATTAGATAAACACAATTTTGTTATAGCCTTGCTTTTTAAAATAGATAAAAAGATGATGAAATTTTTCAAAATATAATTTGGTTTCTAAAGAAGAATGTTTGGTATTTTATTAAGAACTTATGTTGAAACCTATGCAATATAATATTTAAATGGGAACTGGAGCATAATGGAAAATTAATCATAAATTATAAACTAAAGAAATAACACAGTATATTAGGATTTATTTTAGATATTTTTTTGGCTACATTAAAAGTATTTGTATTTCTTTTCACCTACACCTGTACGATTTACAACACTCTAATCCATATGAATTCAAAATATGACTAACAATTTTTGAATCAAATAAAAAAATGTTTATATTTCTCATGCGAATATAAACTAATACGATATTGATGATGTGTTTGGTTTAATTTTAGCCAATATTGTGAAAAAAATATGGCATAATGAAGCGTGTTTATCTCTGCAGTTGTGTGAGTAAATGACCGAGACGTGATAATCATGCGATACAATGATACGTCTTTGTTTGTTAATATTTACTGAAACATTTTTTACCCACTACGAATATCTATTCACATGGTTCACATATTAACAGATAATTAATAAGAAAATACAATATTATCGTTCTTAAAAATTAGATACTTCATAAATACTCTCCATAAATACATTTGGACGGTTTTTAATCTTACATACTTTACTCACTCTTTATTTTATACGAACAATAACTAAATATCTATAGACTCCATCTTATCTCGCTCTGATTGACTCAGTTGGATATCACTGCTTGATTTAATATGGTTATTTAAATTTGTTTTTATATCTTTGACATTAAAGTATATGTACAGTAGAACGTACACAGGAAGTGACTGAAAGTAATTATTACAAAATTATAAAAATATCGTAGATATGTTTAATTTCTTTTTAGTTTCGTATTTTATTAAACATTATTTGAGATAAAATGAATTCAGTAATCACTTTGAAGTTGGAATTAAACTTATTCAAGGCGTATAATTTTAAGTAAATTATTTTGTAAAAAAAAATTTAAAATAAATTAAATTGTAACTTTTTTAAATGATATAATAAGCGTTTATAATTGTGAGCAATGAACAGCGTAATATACATCCTTAACAATTAGTGAAACCTAGGACATTAAATACCAAATATTAAATAAACTAAGCAAGGGGTCAGAAGCAGCAATAACATAACAACAACCATGGCCACATGGTTTCATTTTTCTAATTTTTTTAATTTTCTAAGAATAATTTTGTTGTCCTCTTAACGCTGTAGCTTGAGAAAATAGTTCCTAATCTTCCTTTTCGCCCCCTTCATTATAGGATGACAACTGCATGTAATAGATCTAATGGTATTGCATATTGGTTATTTACTACTTCCATAACGTTATGCCAAGTATTGGTAATGTTTTTAATATAAGATATTGCTATATGATATATTAAACTTAATGAAAATTAATGACGACTTAATTTGAACTTATAGCGCACCTGATAAATTTGTCAGATAAAGAAGATGAGACGTTAGGTATATCCAGCAGGTTACACCTGCTGAATGAATGAAATGAAGCATTCATCAATTAAACAAAAATACAAATTAGCTTGTAGCAATGTAGTGATGAAAAATATATACCACAAACATAAGTACACGCATTCATTTCATGTTTTGCAAAGTATAAAACAATTGTTTATCAGGTTAGACATTTTAATTAATCAATCTAATTCGTTATATAATTCTAATTCGTTCGTTAATTCTAATCTAACTAATCCTTTGCCACATTAGCTGATATTTTTATTCAGTAGTGAGGTTCTTTTACAACTTTTGTCTTTATTTGTATATTGGGTACTGCCGGTAATTGGGCAACCACTTTTCAATTTCGTTTTCAATGTGATTTCGTTATTTATAATTTGTGTATAATTGTAAACACTCACAAGTGGCCTAGGCGATCGTAGAGCGGCTCAATATAATTCGGGTTCAAGCCGTAATTATTCACATCGACTTTGGCGCATTTGCAAAGTAGCTACTGCGGTAAGTTATCTCTGAAACTCGTTTGACTAACCGTCTTAAATACTTTGCCATTGTAAATATATGAGTAACACATAAGTACAATCTCGTAAATATTCTGTTTTTTTATGTTTTGAAATATTTATTATTTAAATGTATTAACGAGATTTCCAATTTGCATTTGAAGAACGTAATAATTATAAAATGATTCAATGATTCAATTTTTTCTTGGGAAAACGTAATCAATTATTTTTTAGAATTTAGTTAAATAATTTTATGTTTAAAACGGATGTTTGCGTCTAAGCATATCTAAGCAATGCAAAACTATACTTATTTATTTAAGTATTTCACGATATCGAAACAAAGATACATGGCACCGTGTTTTGTTGTTTAATATCTTTGGCAGTGGTAAAAATTGTTTATGGAAAACAAAAAAAAAATATTATAAACAATTATGATTTTATGTTTGCGTATTTTAAGCTTTCGCTTTGGTTCAGTTGTTGTTGTTGCGTGTTTGTTGTATTTTAGATATGTTAAAATATATATTAGCACTTGAATTTTAATAAATAAAATTTTTTCTAAGTAGTAATTACCGAAATGAAAAATTAGTTTAAAATAATATTTTTTCATGTTTATATTTTAAATTGTTTAGTAAATATTTAGGTGTGCTTAGAATAATTCATTCACATATACCATACTAAATTGTATAAATTATTACGGTGAAAATATGTCAAGCAATAATGAAGAGTCAAGAGGTGTAAAAACAGTTGCAGAGTGGATTATTGCAGATACTTTCGCCGCAAAATTTTAAAAATATTTATGTTAAAAAATAATTTATTGTTAAAAAAAGAAATATCTTCGTCTATTATTTACAATGCATTTTGCAATGCATAGGTTAAAATATTAGGTATGTGACATATGTTGGTATTGTTTATTTTAAAAGAAAAAAATAATTGTAATAGATTTCAACATCCCGAATGAGAACAAAATACCAAAATACCGTACCCTATATATATATATATATTTATTTATACATATATATATATATATATATATATATATAATATTTTATGGAACTAAATTCTCAGCACTGTTGAAAAAAAAATGCTAACACTTACTAAAATAAATTAGCAAAGATGAAGAAATACTTAGTCAATAAGTGGTTGTAGTTTTAATCCATGTAGTTCTTGTTATAATGCATTACACACCATTGTTATTGGGGAAGAGTTTATGGTCATGACGTTTATCGTCAGTGAAATCAGTTGCTGTTGTTGTAATCCATAGTAAGCGAATAGTTCGACTAGTCTACCATGTAAGGAGTGCAATGAAGATGAAAGATGGTATAGAATTTTTAAGGTTGTTTGAAAACCAATTTGCAATGCCGACTTGCAATTTTAAAAAGATACTGCATCGGTGTGATGACCTGATACCGCTCGATGATATATACACCACTGCAATATTTTCAACGTATTCGAGATACGAAGGGATCTCGGCAGTACATATTACGCTGTAAAATTGTTTTGCCACAGTTTGAAATTCTATTTGTATGACATACGTGAAAAATTTGTTAAGATTGCAATTGATTGTGCTTTTCAATAAAAAGCATTTGTTACTGTTACTTGGCTATTATTATGCCTAGCACAGCTGAAGGATCTGTATTAAGATATCATAGTCTGCAATTAAACGGCCTTTTACATTCACATTGAACTGTATTTTGCTCTATCTTATTTATAACATGTGACCTGAATTGTAAAATATTTCAGGCCAAAGTTTTTAGATTTTTTTCACATGGGTAATTAATTGAAATTGGAAAGATATAAATATTTTACTTAAAACTAGCTTCCATAGTTTTCTTCACATTTTTCATTTGTTTCATTTCAGATAAAATTAATTTTAAATTTTAATGTATAAATTAAAATTAAACGTAAAGACGAGATGCCTATTCAATAATTTTATTATTGTTTCCATCTAAAGTACATATCTTTGTTCAATATATTAACTTAAAGCTAAAAGAGTTTTGAATTGATACCGCATTTTAAGCTTTAATTACGCAAAGTTAACATTAATATCATTAATATAAATTATTATTATTATAAATACCTATATAATAACAAAAGAAGGTAGATAATGTATGTTACGTATCGTGCCTTTGCTTTCATATAGATCAAAAGCATGTAGAACACAGATTGCTTAAGTACAATAACACTAAGAGAATTGTTGGTATTCTATACAAAAATGAATTTTTTTAATGCTTCTAAATTTTCCTTAAACTTTAACCATTAATTCGGTTTTTGCATTTAAGTTAATCAAAGACTTACATATCGGTTTTTCCGGAAATCGCAAGATATTAATTGGAAATTGTTTCGTTTGGTACAGTTGCAATGAACTTTACATATATCTTCTCTCGCTGATGCAACTAAACTTAGACTTTCACCGCCCCACGATATCGAGCCTTTATTATTAGTTTGAACCGGTCTCGTTCCTATATCTTTACCAACTGTTTTCTCCAATATTGCCCAGCACAACGTTATGAGCAATAATGCGGCTTGTTTATTGTAAATTAGATACATTTTGAATATATATTCCAGTGGTTATATATAAATTTACTTATTGTATGTATATTTATACCAATTGTAGATTGTAACGTTCTGAATTGCATTTGCTAATTGTATGCATCTGAAGGTTAAGTGATTGTCCATAAAAGCTTCGTTGTTGCTGTTTTAGCTGCGTTTAAAACTCAAGATTTTGCGAACATTTTGTTGTTGTTGTCGCTCCAATGTGGCTATATCTTGAAACATTTACGCACACTCTGCTTATATAATTTACGTTTTATTTACAATAAAGAATTTCTCGTTCAACACCAAGCTAAAATGATGATTTCGAGAACTTTAGCACTTTATTCTTCATTTATTTTTATTGATATTTCTTTTCAATTTTCATTAATTAAAATATTTCTGAAGGCAATTAACAAAGGCTTTGCTTTCACTAAAAACAGGTCACTTGATTTTGTGATACGTTTGCGGGTATACTCTATGTTGTTTTTTTGAAAATTATTATCATATTTGCTTAAATTTATATTATTATATGCTCGTCCGTATACAAGATTTTCTTCTTATTAACGCAGCTATTAATAAACTTAAAAACCGTCGTCCGATTGTAAAACACATTGAAATCTTACTAATCTAGAAATGTCACACACACCGTCGTTATCCATAAAGTACTGACTGAAAACCATAATAAATTTTGTATCTTGTAGATACACACGATCACTCATTCAGTTTTCTCTCACAGAAACAAAGATGTACTCTTTCGCTCATTTGCTGTCTTTGTTGTTTCACTGTTTTGGAATATTTGAGTTACTTTATTGAGCCAAATACAAAATAGTCGCTCAAATAAGTGCACTTGGCATATGTTTGAAATAAGTTTGGGAATTGAAATAAGTTTAGCAAGATTTATGACTTCATTTGGAATAAATTCATGGCTTTCTAGATATATGTAGATACGAAAATAGTTAGGTAAACGTATGATATATCGTTTATGTGTATTTTTTGTCTAAAATAGCTGATAAAAGCAATACGTTTTTGTATTTTATTAATATTATAAAGCAATCGTAGTTGCTTCGAAAACAGATTAAAAGTCTAAGAAAATAAAATCGCTTCATATCACTAATAAAAGTATCTCTAGTACAATATTTATTTTTTATTTCCTCCTTCGCTTTGTTTAATTTTTTAAATTTATATCAATATGGTTTATGGGATTCGTAGTCTCTTTTTTTCCTCTTTAGGCTGAAAACCAGACTCGGTTTTTAATTACAGCTGATTTCTGTTTATTTTTATTCGACTTTTTTCATGTGTTGTTTGCTTCGCACATTTAGAAACTTGTTTATTTTATCTTGTCTATTTTTTATACTGCATTCGATGCTTCAGGTTCAGTTCGCTACACATCTTCAAGCTGCTACTTTGACGCTCAAATACGGCTCTGAGTCTGAATTGTATTCTGTCTTTGTTGTCTGATGAATTTTTCTTGCTTCTTTCTTTTTAGAGAAACTTTTATATTATTTCAATTTCATCTCGATTGAAATTATGTTTTGTTATCTTTTGCTATTCAATAAATTAACAGTATTGTCGTTCATCTGAACCTACTGATGACACTGGGAGAATTTTTTATGGAATAAAAAGTAACAGTTTATGTATTTATGCTTTTCACTAAGCATTAGTAACTGCATTTTGCCGTATTCCACTTAACTGAGTAACGCATCAGTAATTAAGTAAGTATACCTACTGACAGGTGAGACAGTTAATGGTTTCATATCCACTTATCATAATTATTTTACATAAAACAAATGCGTTAATATACTTAGTTATCAACAGGGCCGCTATAGTTTTGAATGAAACATTTAGTACCGTTCAAATCAATATAAAATACATATTTAAATAAAAATTATTAACTACACTTGAGGCGTGAATGAAATAATCTTACACTACTTAGATAATTCGAATCAAAATGAGACCTATTTCTAACCGTGTGAATAGATTAAATTTTATTCTAGCAGGTATTATTACCGGAAATAGATTCAAAGGTCGGTATATCATAGGAGTGGATATCACCGGACATATGTTAGTCTCAATAGTCAGTGTTTCTTAGGAGTGAATATTACGTCCAATAACTATAGTCTTAGTTTAAGAGTATGCAAAACTTGTTTTTTTATCTAAATTATTTGCATGTTTGTAATCAAAACAGTTAGGAAAATAGGACAATAGGAAATTGACATAAACACTTCATTTAAATCGATACCAAAAAGAAAAAACTTAAGGTTGCTTCTGATGTGATGAGTGATGAAATACAAAAATAAAAGATTTTGATTAATGCAGTAGTGAATGTGTGCGTTTGCTTACATCCTCACTTCATAAATGATTTGATGCACAGAATTTATAAAAATGCTACTGGCAGTTTGCTGCTTGCTACATGACTGCATGATATAAGAATGATCTTTTTACAGCACCCAGTGGTCCCCAGATACATTAACATAAAAGATACACAAAAATAAATGATCAGAATTTTGCATACAAGCAATTTAGCAACAGCAAATACCAAACCGAGAACATAATTTAAGTGAACTGATGTTGAAATACAGCGTTTATGTTTATTTACTGCAACAACAACAACAACAGCATAGTAACAATACTCTAAAGACTTTTATATTTAATTAAACTATAATAAAATTAAGGAGAAAATGTCTACATTTTTATAAAAAATATATGTAAAGAGTAGGAACTCAACTGAACTTGCATAAAAATAAATTAAGCCGAAGTGGTCGGAAATTTATGTTAATTTCACTTACAGATATACTTAATTTAGATACCTACACTAACAAACTAAATATTGTTGTTGTTTGAGATACAAGTATCTTTACATAAAAATGTACATTGTATATTTCTTAAAGAATATATGTGAACTAATTTTTAGTAAAGTTGACGAGTATACATAATCTCTCATTACATGATAACATTACACATATTTTAAATAAATTTTATTATGACATATATGTAGTTATCAAATGGTCCATAGCTAAAAGTATCTGTGATATAAATGCAAACAATATAATTTGTATTGATTCTTTTTGTTATTTATTTAACTAATATTTATTAAAAAAATGTTTAATATTTTATATTTCACAAATATTTTATTATTATTTTTTTAATATCTGAGTTCTTTTTGCTTAAGTTTAAATAAAAAAAACTAATATGATAATAAATAAAATTGCGGTTTCTTTAATATCTTTATGTGTCTTACTACTGAATAAATTAACGATCGTGTATATTACTTCAAGTTTCTTAGTCTAAATCGATTTTGACTAAAATTAAATATTATGTTTCTTACAAGACATGGTTTCGTTTAATGCCATCTCTACTAAATGATGTAAATCGATACTGACAATTGTAAGTTTTCCGAATAATATAAAAAAGCATCAACCTTCTTTCGTATTATGCAATTATCTGCAAATGAATCTAATATTGACATTGATACCTTAAACCTATAAATAGGAAAATTGTGAGGCTCATCAATAATCTTCAACATAATGCTAATAAACTCAATAGATATAGAAGGTCACATTGTCCTCTTATGCTGTCCATAACATAACACTTTTATAGTCGCAATTAAAATATTTCCTCCGTTGAACTAGAAATGAATCACTTTAATTCATTTTTAATATTACATTCTATATTGGCGTTTATTAATTTTAAAACAAGCTGACTAGCCTGAATTTGTATATCCGTAATTCAGAACGATTGTATTCTGCTACTTAAGGATATTAAAAACAACAATTTATAATATTTTATGCACATGAGTTTGTTGTAATAACAATTTTATATAAAATTTTAAAAATTGATATCTACATCTTTTTTTCTATATTTGTCAACGATAAAATTTGATTATTTTTATAATTTTCGTTGGTGTGCAGGTTTTGTAATGCAAAATTTTATGGCATAGTTGGGGGTCTAAACTGATGTAGACTGAATGATTCATTCTATCAACAATTTTTTCTAGAGGTTTCATTAAATTGCTTCTTTCTTATCTCAAGCAAACACTTTGCCATCGAATGGAAAGCAAAGTAAAGAACTACAATACTATTTTTGTTTACAAAATTATCTGAAATATTTGCAAAATGCAAAAAGACTACAACGCAGCGTTAACGGCTCTCCATATCTAAAGCGATTCAAAGACATTGGCGATAAAACAAATGTGGAGAGTGGCAGAATTTTTCTATTTTAAGTAAAAAATTATTTATGCGAGGGCTGGTTTAAATATTTCTGGCCTAATAATAAAAATGCAAATATTTATCATCAAAAATTGTTTTATTGTTTTTCAAAGTATTCTCCAGCCTGATTTATACACTTTTACATGCGCTCAAACCAAATGTTGAAGCACTTTTTTCACTCCGATTGAGACACCTCCACAACATGGTTTTCGAACGCTTCAACAGCATCTTCTGGCGACGAAAATCCTTGACCATGCATTTTTTTCTTGATGTACGTGAATAAAAAGAAGTCATTAGGTGCCAAGTCAGGGCTGTATGGCGGATGACCCATCATTTCGACGTTTTGGCAGGTCAAAAAGGCGCTGGTTTGACCCGATGTGTGAGAGCTCGTGGTATTGGCGTTGCTCAAGCGGAACGGTCGCCACATGACCAGTTTTGCCGAATAAACAGGTGACCATTCGCTTCGAAGTGCTTCTTCCACGAACAACTTTCGTTGGACTTGGCTCGTCTTCGAAGACCCACACGGTCGATTGTTGTTTTGTTTCGGGCTTATACGCACAGTCCCATGATTCGTCACCTGTGACGATCTTATGAACGTCTTTTGAAGCACCGCGAACATATTTTTTCAACATTTCTTTGCACCAATCGACACGAGCCTTTTTTTGAGAGTTTGTGAAAATGTGCGGGATCCAACGAAAACAAACCTCTTTTACGGCCAGGTGTTCATGCAATATCGAATGTATGCTGGTGGGAGAAATGCCCAAAGATGCCTCTATTTCACGGTATGTCACATGACGATCTTGCATTATTAGTTCACGCACGGCATCAATGTTCTCTGACACAATGGCCGCTTTTGGACGACCTTCATGGAATTCGTCGTTGAGCGAGCGTCGGTCACGATTGAATTCATTAAACCAGTGCTATAGGAAAGTGCTTCATCGCCATACAAAGATTTAAGTTCATCAATGCACTCTTGTCCTGATAATCCACGTCAAAAGTTGTGAAAAATGATCGCACGAAAATGTTCACGTATTAATTCCATTTTTTGGCCGACATAAATTTTTTAAGTCTCTGTAAATAAAACAATTCACAATTAAATGACAACACGTTCTGAGTGATGTTATGCTAAAAAATGCCAACCTTTTCAATGGAGATGTCAGATTGCATCTGGCAACACTTAGTATTGCCTAGGCCAGAAATATATATAACAGCCCTCGTATTCTTGTTTATGAAAATAAACTGTGAAAATTTGAACTGGATTTCAAAACTTTTAAAAATTATTTTTAAACACTTCGCATATATGTTATACATGTTCGTTATATACATATGTTATGTTTATAGTTTGGATTAAATATTTATCTATGTCGACTTAAGAGTTATAAAGAATGACGATTAAAACTAGATACTACAACTCATAATATTAAATACTAATTATATTAAATATATTATTATATTCCCTATTTCTGAT